AGAAAAAGATAGATGATCTGTTCCGCTGCATTTGATGTTTATAGCAAGCTCTGTGCGTCTGTTTCTGTCTGTATGTTTGGAAGAAAGTTCTGAAACAAATTCCAAAGCCAGATCCTGGAATCAGTTCAGTCAGTCTGGAATCTGGCTCACGACCCGATGCGAGCGGGATCCGTTCCGGTCGGGTTGGGTCGTGACATCACCTTAGGGGTGAAAACGAGTCAAGTCGAGCTCGAGCCAGAGGGTGTTCGAGTCGAGCTCAACTGTCAAATATTGAGCTCGAAGCCTCGAACTAGAGTCAAGCTCGACTCGTCCCATTGTAAAAGAGTTTGAGCCGCTCGTCAAACCTCTGGCACAATTCATTTCGCCTTCTGATTCACCGAGTTCGAGGCTCGCGCGGCCTTTTAAAATCAGAGAGAGAGAGAGAGAGAGACGAATTAATGAGTAATAGGCATTTATTATTCAGCTGTCTATAATAAATAAACACTTTACATCAAGCCCATTTATTGGACCACTCACCACTGTCAGTCAGAGAGGAGAGAGAGAGAGGGGGGAGGGAACTTTGAAATACAGGCGGGATTTGAGAAATCACAAAAAAAAGGTTTAATGCACAGTAACTTTGAAATAATGCAGGATTTACATAATATTTTGTATTATTTTTTTAATATTTATATTTAATAATTATTCGAGCCAGCTCACGAGCTGAGTCGGCTCAAGCTCGAACTTGAGCTCGTTTACCAAATGAGCTCGAACTCGAGCACAACTCGTGAGCACAACTCGAGCACAACTCGGCTCGCAAGCCCATAAACGAGTCGAGCTCAAGCCGGCTCGCGAGCCAGGTCGGCTCACTTGCACCCCTACCTCACCTTCATGATGTAATTGGGAGTAAATCCCACCACTGAGTTCAAGGTCACCTCTGCCACATCCAGATGTAACTACTTAGTCTCTTCAAGTAACTTGTTAGACCGGACCCCATTGGACCAGTCCAACCGGCCCTTAGCAAGGGGCCGATTCAAACCTATAAGAGGCGGACAATAGCTGGTCCACCCTCTTGATTTTGCTACCCAATCATTGGGTGGGTCCCACCCATTAAACCAATTAGGAAGTGAGAGAGGGTGGCTAGATCTAAGGAGGTGATTATATGCTTAAGTTTAGTGTTGTTCTTGTTCTTGGAGTTTAGTGTCTTGGGCTCTAGTGGTGTCTAGGGATTGGGAGAGATAGATCATCTTCTCAAATTGAGGATCAATTGTATCTTGTTATTTTTCTTATGTTAGTTTGATTTCTGCAATAAAAATCACTGTTTTGGTTGTTTTTTTTTCATTGGATTTGCAGAGCATTCTTGCTATATTTTTACTTGAGATCTTCAAGTATTTCCTAACATAAATCCCCCAACTCGTCCCCGCTCTCCTCTTCCCTTTCACAGACCAGTAAGACCAGAAGGGCTCAATTTCTGCACCTATACCCAGGTGTGAATCTCATCACACCTGAAGCATAACCCTTTGGCCCGCCTATCCTGAACTTCAGCTTCTGTGAGGCATTTGAAATTGCCTCCAGGACGGGCTCCAGCACCTTTCTCCTTAGGGGCTTCCCTCTGAAATGACGATGTCTGGATCCTTGGTGCCAAGGTCATAAGTGCTCCTATAATCCCCTCCCATGGTGTTGCTTTGAGTGCTCCTCTCCCTTTGTTGCTTTTCTGATAGGAAATACTTGAGTTCGCAAGTAACCCTAATGGGAATACTTGAGTTCGAAAGAAACCCTAGCAATAATTGGTGAAAACAACAAGAAAACTTCGAGATTTCCAATGAAAACAATCCAAAAACAGTAGATTATATTATAAGAATCAAACCGAAAGCAAGAACAAGCAAAGATACAATCGATCCTCAATTCTAGAGGAGGAACGTTCTCTCCCAATCTCTAGATGATGAATCTAGAGCCCCCCCAAAACTTCAAAGAGAACTCCATGAGAAACAATAATCATGCATCCCTAACCCTAGCCTCCCTCCCTCTTTTAATACATATCTTCCTAATAAAAATCAATAAAACGTTTCCTAAAATAAACCAATTATTCAAATAGTTTCTCTATGCAAATTCCCTCCCTTCCCTATCTCTCTTTGCCTACCTAGGCGGGACCACACACTTAGGCGGCAATCAAAGGAGGCGGCTTAGCCCGCCTCTTGTAGGTATGAACCGGCCAAGGTTGGGTCGGTTTCGATGGTTCAGGCCAAACCATAACATTTTTCTCCACCCTTTGTGCTAGCTCCATTGTCTCCCTTAGCCCTCTAGGCCTCAATATTCTGAGTTCTGCATATATGTCCTCTCTAAGCCCCTTCATGAAATTCCCCTCCAATCCTTCTTCAGATATTCACCTTAGTCTCCCCAACAACAGTCCAAACTTCTCCTAGTACTCCATAACTGCCCCCTCCTGAGTGAGGGCATAGAACTGCTCATAGAGGTCTCCTTCCCGAATGGCTTGGAAATGTTCCAACAAGCACTCCTTAAATTCTCCCCAGGAGTGAATCAAATACCTAGCCTCCATCCACTAGAACCAAGCTAGAGCTTTCCCTTCCAAACATAGACCTGCCGCCATGAGTTTTCCCCCTTCAGTCAGTCCATTAATAGAAAAGTAACGCTCTACTCGATAAACCCAACCTTGAGCGTCTTCTCCTTCAAAGACCGGCATTTTCAACTTTCTTGATCTGGTATCCATACCCCAATTATTTCTTCCCCGTTAGATTCCCCTTGAAGTAATGATATGATTCTCTCCCTTCCTCCCTTAGTTGATTTGGACCCCATGGTTATGATCCACCATGGCTTCCTCAAACCCACAATCTTTCCTACCTGGGTGGTCTCCAACCCGCTTCAGTCTCTCCTCTCATTACAGTCTCTTCTTTGGGATACCGTGGTGCACCTCCTTTTGGAGCCCGGTGGGATGGTTCTTGAGAAAAAAACATCTCTACTTCATCATTGCCCTCCTGAAATATCTTTCCTTTCGGATCAACCCTAGGACAAGCTGGTGAAGCCTTCAACTGCTCTCAAATAATTTCCTCTTCATGCCTTTCATATTCTTGAATCGGTTTTCCATTCTATGTCCCATGGATGACAACCATCCCTTCACCATCGTGGACCTTCCTTCCACCGCCGTGAACTTCCCCTCAATACTAGAATATTGATCCTCCGTTCCGGCCCTGAATTGTTTCAACTCTCATTCCAACAACTTCATCTTATTTGCTGCCATTTAACGAATTTAGGGTTAAATCCTCCAAAAACAGCAAAAAACGACGGTGACAATCAGCAAGGTAGACTGAAAAAACGTACCAGAAATCAGCAATGAGGACTTAAATTTCAGAAGAAAAAGTAAATATGGCATCCTTGAGGATTTATAGGGCATCTTTGAGGATTCTTTTGGTTTGTTTGCATAATGCAATTGCCTACAAAAATAGACTTCTGGCTTCCACAAATTTGATTTGCAACCTTTATATCCTCACGGAGGATTCTCTATAGCATTGCAAGAAATAAATTATATATTCAATCATTTAGAAGAGCCATTTAAAGATTAGAAATTTTTGTGAAAGCATAATTTCTTTACCTAATCTACACTACTATTTAAGATTCACTTGTAACTGTAGCAACAAGAAATTTAGGTCATTCACAAACTTACTGAAAGCCTAACACTTCATTCAACCTTTGGCAAATTAATTTGATTCACCTAACCACCATCATATTCCAAGTTCAAATTTGAGATGAATCATTCTGATTACAGAAATAAAAAAAATTCAAATTTGAGATGAATCATTCTGATTACAGAAATAAAAAAATTCATAAAAACGGATAGATCTCCGATAATACTTTGGCAATTCTACTCCAGCAGATTTGCATGCTAATAAAAATTGTGTTTGGGGGTTAAAAAAGCACAATTCATGAATAAACGGCTATGCGAACCTCATGCATCAGCATTCTTATTAGTGTTACTAAGCACTTGAACAGTCCCATTGTCTCAAAATGTGAAGAATTTGATGCTGGACGTATCATAAAAGCACCATAATGCTGTTGATCTACCGAACAAAAACCATCATACCAAAACTTGATGCTATTGAATATAAGGTCAAGAAAGATTTTGGCACTTTCTATAAAAAGTTAGCCAATTATAAGATTACTTCATTCAATAGAATATGTCGAAAGGATCCTCTGTTGACCTAATGTGTATACGCACAGCATTAAACAAGAAACACGAATATAGAAAGGAGTGCAAACGGTAAGTGGTTTTTACCTTGAATCACGCCAAACGCTATTTAAATGAAAAAAAGGGATGACAAGGGTCGCATTTAGTATTCCAGCCACAGCAACAGCATCGCATATCTGCATCAAGCAAAAGTCTGATGGTAAAGACAACAAAACAACTATTCACAGAAAAATATCAGGCCATAAATGGCATTGTAATTTTAAAAAGTCTAAATAAGGTGAAAATACATAAAATAGGAAGATCAAAAAAACTAAATCAAGATCATTATCATTAGCCTTATCCCAATTATTTAAGATCAGTCTTATGAATCCTTAATTTCTCAAGTAAATTTCGTAAGTTCAGAAATAAAACCATCATCATCATCAATTTCCTTATCACAAACAAGAATCACCAAGTTTTTATCGAGTCGTTCGCAAAAATATCAAGCTAAGAACTCAAAACAGAACTCTAACATATGCATGCAAGCATCAATCCAAGCTCTCCCCGCCAAAGATGGAACAAAAAAGATACTACTTTAAAATGATAAGCTGAAGCATGTGCCTTTGGTTTTGTTCAAGATAGCCTAGTCATTGGACAGCTTTTATCATAAACAAATGAAAGTAAACAGACAAATAATAGTCAAGAAGGATTCAACATCTAGGTTTTAGACCCATCCTTACATCTGCATATTGTAAAATATGATTAGATATTAGTGTTATTCCAGTTATGATGACAACAGTTTTTACATCTACTGGTGCTCAAAGAAAAGAAAGTATATTTTGTAAAAATTAAAATCATACCACCCAAGAAAATTTGTGCACAACAACTTTCTATCATCCTTTGGCAAAAAAATATAAAAACTACCAAAACAAACATGTTAGGCATTGTAACATAGGTGTTAACAATGAGGTTTCAATGTCAGGGAGAGTTACACGAAAGTTATTTGTGGATATACTTCAAAGAGTGGAGACAATGATGAAAAGACATAGAAAGAGTGAAAGAGAACGCATAAATAAGCACATTTGGTGGAGAATCCTTGGCTACTGCTGCTTGTATTTTACTCAGTCTAATATTTACATTAGGACCTCTTGAATCTAGGTGTTTGGTTTCTACTCACAGCTTTCTTAATGGGAACTGAAGTTCATGGATGACAAGTCTTCATAATAAAGATGAATGGGGTATTTATATTACTAGTTGATCTTCATAACACAATAAGGCTGTCAAATCACATGTGCATTGAATGTTTTTCTCAATAAATCCATCTGCTCCACCTCCATACTATCACAGCATTGGCAAACAACTAGGAGATGCGCCTGCTCACTTGCCATGGCAGAGGCATCATACACAGACTGTCACGTGACATCAGCTAAATAGTTGACTAAGAGGAGAGAGTGTAGACCAGCTAATGTTGTGAATGACAAGAATGATTATCATGCATCTTCCACTACAGGGAACCAAGGTGGTTCTACATGTCAAATTTTATGTGGCGTCACCAGCATTCCTTATACCGTGATATATATGAACTACTGAAGGGCTACCCCCCATAGAGGTTGTTAGGCAATAAACAGGCTGTTAAAAGTTGGTCAAACGCAGCCTGTTATAATTTTTTTGGGATCTGTTGACCTTCATCAAGTTATTTGTTGCTCTAATCATTTTTGGGCTTCAATCTTCCAAGGTCTTGGGTTCTCAGTAAGGTACTTGCCTACGCTCCTTGAGTTATCTCCTGCAAGAAGCACCGGATTCTAATCACCTTAGACTTAACTAATGGACTTGCGGCTTCACTGCAACTTCTCTAATTGATATGCATTTGAGATTGACATGCAGGCTCATCTCAATGGCATTTGAAGCATCTTGAAAAGGCGGTCAAATCTATGGTCCATGCTAGGGTCACCTACTCAAATAATGAAAATAAACTCTATATTATGCGTGGTTGACAGTACATCACCTCATCTCCAAACCCAACAGTGGTGAGATTCTCATGCATGCATTGGGTATACTTTTTGAGATTTTCAAATGTGTATAAATCAAAGTAGTAGCCCAGATAAATTTTTCACATTGAGGTAAATGAATGAAGAGAGGAAGTAATATAGTTGGATGTACAATACAGCAATCAAATCTAAGGAACAATATAGATCAAAATCCCTAAACCAAAATGTTATTACTCCTCAGATATGACTCAGAAGTCAGAACTATAATATATGTATACATACTAAAACTGAAGAAAATGCCCAACTAATGCAAGCTTGCATCACTACAATACAATACCTGATACATTAAAAAAAAATTAAAGGAACCACATTTTTCAGTCCTATATGCTTTGTTAAAATCTTTCATCTAGGCACTCATGATTGCAATGCAACAGATGCCTTTGAAGCCCAATATGCTCTAAAAGGCATGTACGTTAACAGAAGGATACAAAGATAGTAGAATCTCAAAATCAAGCGGGTAACATAATAAAGTATAAAAAGGGGAATACCCGGTGAACAATACATCATAGTATAATTACTTATTTCAATTTCTTGAGGGAAAATAAAGAGATTGGTTTCCATCTAGAAGAAAATGGAAAAGGTAAGAGATGAAATGCAAGCAAACCTCATGAAATAAGTTGTTAGCTTGTTTTCATACATGAACATACCGAAAGACGTTGTTGGTTCAGCCCCCCATTGGCTTCAATTATGAGATAACCATTTGAAGGTGGCAACCCTAAAACAGAAATTAGAAGTAAGATTCTTCAAAGAGAATAAAACCAGAATAATATATTGGAAGTCATGGTTATGCAGATAGCTCAAATGCTAACCAAAGGAGCAAGAAAATAGATACTATGCTCACCAAAATAGCTAAAATAGGAACTGTAATACCCAACACAATAACCCCAACCTCTCAAAACTAAGTAAACAAATTAATAAATAAATAACAAATAAAACCTGCCAAAAAAGAAATACACTTTGAAAAACCAAGTACTGCATCTATATCAGCAAGCATCAATTTTGCCAGATCTCCTAGTTAATTATGTAGTAAAGATACATACCATAAATGAATGATTAAATGATCCTGTGCCGATTTCCTGAATATAACAGTTCTAATGGAGAAATCCTCCTTTCAATACGTCAAACGGGGCTTTTCTAATGATCATTGAAAGTAATCAAGAGCCTATGCGATCAAAACACATTCAACAAACTTTTCATGGTTATTAAAGCAACTGAATAGCATTTAATTGTTTTAACACAGCTTCTTTATAATACATGAATGATTAAATGATCCTATGTAAATTTTCTTGGAAACTAAAGAAACCAAGACTGGTAACGGGAACAGAGATAAGCAGGGAAGAAGAAGAAGACTTATTTCCTTCAGTGAAAAGGTTGTATAGGCAGAGATATAAATAGACCCTATGATAGGGTGATACACGTGTACACCAATAATTGGATAAAAGAGTAATAAAGTGAAATACATTTTATATAATGGTCTAATATCCCCCCTCAAACGAACGGATCTTGTATGATTGTGATTTTGGTTCTAATCCGTTTGAAGCGAGGCGTAGACAAGGGCTTGGTCAGTATATCTGCAGTTTGATCTTCGGTTTTGATTGGAAGAAGACGAAGGTGATTGTTGCTGATGTGTTCCCGGATGAATATGTGGTCAATCTCTATATGCTTGGTTCGTGTGTGAAACACGGGATTGGTCGCCAATGCGATGGCAGAGGTATTGTCGCAGTGCAGATCTACAAGTGCGTCGTGAGGGATGAAGAAATCCGTGAGCAGACGTTTGAGCCATATGGTGTCGGCGGTAGCAGCTGCTAGAGCTCGATGCTCCGATTCTGTGGACGACCGGGAGACGATTGTGTGTTTCTTAACTATCCAAGACACCAGCGTTGTGCCGAGGAAGGTGCAGTAGCCCGATGTTGATTTTCGGGTTATAGGATCACTAGCCCAGTCGGCGTCAGAGAAGGTGGTGAGAGTGAGATTGGATTTAGTAATAGAGAGACTAAAGTTGATGGTGCCTTTGATATACCGAATGAGGTGCATGAGGAGGTACATGTTAGCTGGCTGTGGATCGTGCATGTGTTGAGATAGAGCATTGACCGCATAGGCTATGTCAGGTCAAGTAATCGTGAGGTATTGCAGCGCACCGGTGATCTTCCGATAAGTTGTAGGATCTGAGAGGAAGGAGATTCCTGGGTAGTCTCGAAAGGAAGTTTGGTACAAGATGGATTAGCTGCAGGATTGCAGTTGATAAGATTAGCCTGTTGTATAATAGATGTAGTGTATGATTCCTGAGAAAGAAAATACTTATCTTGTTGGTTTTGAATTCGGATGCCGAGGAAGTGATTCGTGGTGCCCAAATGTTTGAGTGCAAATGTGGTATTGAGTTGTTGAAGAAACTTAGAGATGGAAGCTTCATTGTTGCCGGTGATGAGTATATCATCGACGTATACCAGTAAGAACATTTGAGTGTGTCCTTGACGAAATGTGAGAAGAGAGGAGTCCGCCTTGCTTGGAGAGAAGCCGAGAGTAAGAAGGTGGTCGCAGAATGTAGTATACCATTGCCGAGGGGCTTGTTTGAGTCTGTATATGGCTTTCCGAAGAAGACACACATGGTTCGGATTAGCGGAGTCCTCAAAGCCTTTTGGTTGTCTCAGGTAGACGGTTTCTTGTATGTTTCCGTGAAGAAAAGCATTCTCTACGTCGAGCTGGTGTATTTTCCAATCGTGATGAAGAGCGACGGTGAAAAGAACCCGGATAGTTGGTAGTTTAGCTACCGGACTGAAGGTTTCACCGTAATCGATCCCGTATTCTTGCTGGTTTCCTTGCGCCACCAATCTAGCTTTGAAACTAGCCATCGTTCCGTCGGAGTGTAGTTTCTTACGGAACGTCCACTTGTATCCCAAGATGGGCGTGTTTGGAGGAGCAGGAACCAGCTGCCATGTGCCCTGTTTTTGAAGAGCTAGAAATTCGACCGCCATTGCGTTTCTCCATTCTAAGAGTTTATTAGCCTCAATGTAGCTGGTAGGATCCGGCTATAGAACCTCATTATGAAACAGATTTAAGCGGTTGATGGGTTTTAGGGATCCGGTTTTGGCACGAGTGATCATAGGATGTCGAGCAGTAGAGTTGCAGGGAGAAAGCTGGGTGTTGATCGTTGGATGAGTGGGAGAGGTGGAAGTGGTATGAGACATTGATGGCGATATGGTGCGGCTGATGGATTGCATTGGAGTGGCATTGTTCGACGGAGGTTGAGTGTTGTTGACCTGTTGCAATGTCGACACAGGTAGTAGAAAAGAGGAAGGAAGGTCCAGCTGAGATAACTGTTGCTCGTGGTGCGTTGTAGAAAACGGGAAGGAGGTTTCAATGAATTGAACATGACGTGAAATAATAATTTTGTTGGTTTTGCGATTTAGGCACTTATAGCCTTTGTAGTTGTTGGTGTAGCCAAGGAAGACATAGGATGTGGAGTTGGGTTGTAGTTTATGTCGAGAATGCTTAGGTAGAAGGGGAAAACATTTGCATCCGAATGCGTGAAGTAAGGCGTAGTCAGGAGTGGTATTGAACATCACTGAATGGGAGAAACGTTGTTGGTTGTAGGTGTGGGCATTCGGTTGATGAGATGAGCAGTAGTTAGGACCCCGACGGGCCAGTAGGAGGGAGGCATAGACGCAGTGTGAAGAAGGGTCCTGGCAGTGTCGACGATGTGGCGGTGTTTGCATTCGGCGACACTGTTTTGTTCCGGTGTGTAGGGGCAAGACAATTGGTGATGAATTCCTTTGTATTTAAGGAATGTCTGGAACTAGTGATTTACAAATTCGCTACCGCCGTCGGTGCGCACAGCCTGAACCTGTCGAGTTGTCTGTTTTTCAATAAAGTTTATGAAGTTAATAAAAATTGCGGGACATCAGTTTTAAAAAGAAATGGGAAAATCCAAACACAGCGTGAGTAATCATCTATAATGAGCAGGTAATAGAGAAATCCTTGTTGAGAGGGAACTGGAGAGGGTCCCCAAACATCCGAATGAAGCAAAGCAAGCGGTGTTCTTTTACGATTTACAGAGTTTGGAAAAAACCAGTTTGTGACTTTTGCAAGTCTTACAAGAAGTATAGCTAATGTTTTTATTTACTATATAAAGAGACGGATGGGCTTGAGAGATCGTGTCAAGAATGCGTTGATGAGGATGCCCGAGACGTTCATGCCAGTTTGGACAATGCGGCTAACTGGTAGCGAGGGCCTTCTGTGGGATGCAAGATTTCTTGATCGAAATGGGATAAAGACCTGCTTTACATGGACCTCACAGTAGAACTTCGTGAGTCTGCAAATCCTTAAAAATGAAACCATTAGGATCGAAAGTGATGGAAATTTTATTGTCAATAACAAGATTTGAAATGGAAATTAAGTTGTGAGATATAGATGGTATGTGGAGTAAATGTGACAGAAACAGCACGCTCGGGGGTTGGAACGATTCCAGTGCCGGAATGAGCAATATGAATGGATCTTCCATCCCCAACCATGACGTGCTCGGAGCCTTGGAAGGTCGATGCTTGGGCAAGATTTTCTTGGTCGTGTGTCATGTGTGGTGATGCACCGGAATCAAGATACCACTCCATGGATGATGGGTCAGAAGTTGCAATAAGAGCTTGCCCATCGTTGTTGGACTGAGATGAAGGTGCCGTGTAATTCGGATTGTGTCTGTGCCAGTAGACACCCGCTGTGTGACCGCATTTAGTGCATATCTGGCAAACTATGGAAGATTTTGAGCCCAGTTTTGAGCAAGTTTGAGTGGTTTGTTGTTGTTGACCTCGTCCGCGGCGACCACGACCGCGGTTTACGTAGAGGGTCGTCTGAGTGTCAGGCGTGATGGAGTAGCGTTGAGAGTCTTGGCGAATGTGAATTTCTTCGCTGATTAACATGGCATAGAGACTGGCGAGAGAAAGCACGTTTGTAGAGTCCTGATCACAGTTTTGAATGATTGGTAAGGAGGCGGGAGACCATTGAGTATATATAGTATGATGTCTTCGTTGTCCAGGCTGCAGCCAACAGAGATGATTAGATCAATTGTCTTCTTGATTTCCATGAGATATTCTTGCATATACATGTTACGCATCGAAATATTGTGTAGCTCGTTTTTTAGCTGCATTACTTTAGATCTATTTGATGACTAAAACCTGGTTTGCAATGCGTTCCAGATTTCATGAGTGGATTCAAGATGCATAACATAAGGTAGCACATGGGCGGAAATGGTTGAGGAGATTGCGGCAGCTAGATTTCTGTCAGTGAGAAGCCATTTGGTGGTCTCGGATTCAAGATCGGTTTGATCTTGATCGACAAGAACCGTAGGAGAGGAAGAGGAGTCAAGAAACGAGTCGAAGCCGTTTGCCTTAAAAAGTTTAATGATCTGATTTCTCCAAATTGGATAATTATCCATGGAGAGTTGATGGGGAACAAAGGATTTGAGATTGGAGATGATGAATTTGAGAGAGGGATATAGAAGAGGCTTATCTGATGAATCTCCAAGGGCCGCCGTCGTGTGGGATGAAGCCACGGTGGAGACTGAAGAGGCCATGGAGACAGTCCTCAGGAATGGCCCGCTTCTGATACCATAAAGAAACCAAGACTGGTAACGGGAACAGAGATAAGCAGGGAAGAAGAAGAAGACTTATTTCCTTCAATGAAAAGGTTGTACATGCAGAGATATAAATAGACCGTATGATAGGGTGATACACGTGTACACCGGTAATTGGATAAAAGAGTAATAAAGCGAAATACATTTTATATAATGGTCTAATAGAAACAACAACTCTAATAGAGAAAAAAAACCATTTTATACTGTAAACAGGCAGTTTTCAAAAGCATTAAAAACAGTCAAGAATGGATTACAGGCAATTAATAGTTGATGAGATCAAAACATTTCAACAAGCTTTTCATTGTTATTAAAGCAATTGGGTAACATTCAACAGTCCTGAGAGTTGCTTCCAATACAGTGATTTCTGAGAAATGGGATATGATGTAGCAAAAACCCATGGAAATGAAAATAACTATTTGAATATCAATGAATATGTACCATAAGGAAGAAAATTTAAAAATATTACAGGGGGGCCTCAGTTAAACCTGTAAACAGAATCTTCACTTTTTCCTTTAGCTTTAGGGCTTGTTCAAGATTGCACCATACTAATCAAATCCTTTAAATTAAAAATATTTTTAAGGACATGAATAAGTTGAACCTAATCCCTACACTACGATATTTTCAAGTGTATTGCAAGAGAATGCCCAGTTCTTCTCACAATCGCAATAAATAGGTCGACCCTTGATTAAAATACAATAAGATAGGAAGGAATACAATAATACAGTATTAACAATTGCCTTGAACAAATTTTCTCGAGATTAACGAAATCCATAAAATTAGGGTAGGGAGAGCTAGTTCTATTAGGAGGAGCAACAAAAAGAAGACTAGTCAGCTCAATATCATCATCAATAATAATCTTATCCCAATAATTTTGTGCACAATAATCAATTATAAAATTAGCACAAACCTGTTTGAGATAACTTCTTTCTGAAACAAGGCTTCCATCTATGACTTGTTTTATGGTGCCAGGCTGTTTCCATCTGCACAATCTCAAAAGAAACAAAATCATAAATAACATTAAAAGCGGGGAAGAGCCGCAAAGCTACTTTATGACTTCCATATCTTAAATCCATTGATCCCAAAATGATTCGGCACATGAAAACATATCTATCTTCAAGTTAAGATTCCTTTAGGAATGTTGTGTTGAAGGAATAAGTCATTGTTATACGGTTATACCAACACAAAGAAAAAGATGCCCATGAGCAGGGTAGAAATTTATGTTGTGTTTTTCAAATAAATTTAAAAAAAAAAAAAAAAAACTTTCCTTACTACACCAAGTTAACAAGCCTTCAAACGTTAAAAAAACAATAGAAAAAAGCACGAGAAGAAAGAAAAATGGAATACGTCATATGTTCACCACAAATCGTTGTAGAATAGCTCTATAATTCATACCAATGACTCTAGATTGCAAATATGCTTGAAAATATATAAATAAATAGCAATAGACGGCAGAGAAAGAAGCACCGAAACGCATAATCATGCAAAGCACAAGGAATCGGTGGAACTCCAAAATAAACAACCCAAACACCATCAATGCACCAATACGAGATAGACCTGGGATGATAATCCCAAAAATTGAACTCCCACAACACACATTTCTCGATTAGACAGCAAGCAAACAAGAGGCCTTCCTAGAAAACAAGGTGAAAGATAAATAATAAAGGAAGCAGACAAATGTCACAAATCTCACCGCATTAGAGTGATTGACATCTGCCTGCATAAAGGGCCAGAGCTTCTGGAAAACCTGTGGGCTCCGGTAAACCGATCCCGGCGGTGACCGCCCGAGGATAGCCACCCCAACGCTAACCGGCACCCCCTCTAGGTCCCAACTCAGCATAAGCATTGCCGTCACGTATAGAAGCGGAGCCGCCAGTAGCCACCCCCTTCGCCGAAGCACCGCCGCTAGAATACCGTACAAACACCGCTCCGTCCTCCTCCCAGCGCTCGACTTCCTCCTACCCGCCCTCGGCGAAGCAGATGGAGACTTCTCCCCGCCGCTCCCTCCGCCTCCAACAACCGCCCTCTGCCCCGTCATTCTTATCGCCATTGGCGCCGCCATCCAGATCCAGCAATGCCCCCCACTTCGGAGCTCATTTAAGCGCCAATTTCTTACAAAGTTGAGCCGGCGCGGGAGGGAACTTCAACTCAACTGATGAGGAGAACCCTCACAGCGTTCCAATGAGCAACGAAGAGCAGATAGTACACGTAACGATATGAGCGAAGCAGAGACTGAACACGCGCGTTCGATTTGGTTTTTTACCTTTATAAAGCTTTCAATGCAATTAATGCAAACCGTGATTGAAGTTAATGAGAAGGTGTGGGAGCCGTCTAATTTAAATGTCACCGGTTCGGCACTTATTTTTCTTTTATCTTTGAAGATTTACCTACGTACCACTTAATATTATGATAATTACATATTTAATATTTAATATTTAATATTTAATATTTTAATATTTTATGTATATCACTCATAGATCAAATTAGGGGTATCAATATTTGACACGACCTGAAAATCCGACCCGAACCCGACCTAGAATTAGGGGTGTCAATATTTGACACGACCTGAAAATCAGACCTGAACCCGACCCGAGTTAGGGATTTCGGCCCATTTGTAAAATCGTGTCGGATTCGATTTGACCCAGAAACACGAAATCAATCCGATTTGACTCATTTTTAATTAATTTATGAGGGTTTTAAAATTTTGTTATAAAATAAGCAAATCATATTTTTTAAAAATTAATAAACCACGTTGCCCAAATTGAATTAAGTTAGGCTTATTTTAAATTGATTGAAGTAAATCTAACCTTAATTTGATTTAAGTTTAAATAAATCGAATTAAATAAAAAAAATAGTAAAACATACCCGAAGTGGGTCGAGTTCGGATTGACCCGAACCTAAAGCGGGTCAGGTTCGGGTCTGAAAAATCTACCCGTTTGCAAAAAAATAGGTCGGGTCGAACAAAGCCGAGTCAGTTTCTGGTGGATCCGAATCCGACCCATGACCCGATTTTGACAGCCTTAGATCAAGTATATGTGCATGTAATAAAATATTAATATTATAAGATGAAATGGGTGATTGGAATGAAATATTAAAGTTTATAGATGAAATATATGTGCATAATTTTTTTCCTATATTAAATTTTAATAGGGGCACAGAAGCGCACATATGGGAGAAAGATTACCTTCATAGCATGAGGCTCGAAGGGACGAAGTCCAACAGGAAGGCAACGCCGTCAAAGGAGTGAAGTCCAACAGGAAGGGAACGTCGTCAAAGGAGTCGAATTTCTCTCTCTCGCATCTCGTGTATTCCTTTTTTACTCAAATTTTAGCAGTTTTATTTTACCCACAAAATAAATTGTGTGAGGAAGTTCAAAAAACAGCACGATTTCATTTCACTTTGCTCCGTGTCAAACCAAATAGCGAAAAAATAAAAATACATGTATTTACCCTACATTCATTTTAGTACCAAGCAAACAACCTCTAAAAGAATAGTGAAAATCAAATTATTGTGGAGGGGACCATAAAACACAAAGATCCATTAGCCCTTAATAGGACTAATGTACAAGCATGGACATTATTGAAAAATATTTGGCTCTATGCTCACTTGTATAACAAAATAATGATTCATATAAATATAACAGTAAAAATAGTAGAAATGTTAAAATAAAAATGACTTAGACTTCCTTTGAGACGGCTTTCTTATGACTTCTATTAAAGCAACTTTTTTAATAAAAAAAGCAATTTTTTTGTACTAAAAAATGATTTTAAGCATAAGTAAAAAAGTAGTCCCAAAGAAAACCTTAGGCTTCATTTGAGCTATCTTTCTTTAAAGTAACTTTCTAGTACAATTTTTTTTAAATTTCTTTTGGGCGGCTTTTTTAGTACTTCTTAAAGTAGTTTTTTAATACAAAATTAAAATTTTAATATTAGAAAACTGACTGAAGAAGTGATAAGAAAGCCTTAGTTTAACAATTTTTTTTATTAAAATTTAAATTTAGAAAATTAAACCTTAATCAAATTAATTGCACCACACTACAAGTTTCATGAATTTTTTTTTTTTACATTAATTATGTGTTTTTTGCAAAATTAGCTATACTCTGACGTCAGCACATCTTTGAATGGTCTGTTGATCATTCGGGCAATATAAAGTATAACCTGTTCTATATCCTCATCTTAACAACTATCTACACATTTGATTTTATTAAAGCAATGGCTATGGGACTGTTTATTTTATGCTTGATGCATTCTTTTCAAACCTGCAAAGAAAGTTTTAGTTATTCGATAATCAGCTCAAATGTGATTAATTTTTACGAACGAGTATTTTGTAAGTCTAATATTTTCAATTAAAAGATGAACTTTTTACATATATATTATGACATAAATATTCTATAATTTTTGCAATTTTTTAATAAATTTTATATTTGTGAACAACTCCATTCAAAACAATAATACAACATAACAAACAAAACAAAAACATAAATTACTAAATTACTTTGTTTAACAAATTAAGCCAAAAAACATGTGCCTGTGCCAACTCAACTCAGGTACACCACTTAAGACATCATTTGCGACAATCTTTTTACTGTTTTTTAAAGCAGATCTTTAATACAATTTAAAAAAAAAAACTAAAAATCATTTCAAATGAGGCCTGCTTATTTTTAGGTTTTATTTGAGACAACTTTCTTACTATTTTGTAAAGTAACTTTTTAGTACAAAAAATTTTTGAACTTTAAATATTTGTAATATATATATATATATATATATATATATATACAAAACAGTATATATATATAAAACAGTAATAAAGCTATCTCAAACAAAACCTTAGCCTATTTCAAGTTGTATTTCAAATTGACCGAAATCCGCCAAATTGGGAATACACTGCATCATCAGGAGAAATTATTTTGTGCGGACGCCGAACGTCATCCAGAGACCAACCATAATGTGCCACATCACCCATGTGCTTGGTATCGCAGCTCGATACTGCTCAGTACTGCTGACATGACACATTCTAGTTGGTCACCAAATGACCTTCTACTTCCAGCTTCCTATAAAATAGTTTCTCATCGCACCGAGATTATCATTTTTGTTCGGCTTACCTGCTGGCTATCCCCACAACCATCCTCCAACTTTGAGCAATCATGCCACCGTGTTTGTGCACCCTAAGTTTGTTTTAATAAAATTAAAACTTGCAACCAAAAATTAAAAAAATTATCTTCATAAGTTATATTAAGACCGGAAGAAATAATTCTGAGCATTCCAAATGCACTATATTTTAGAAATAAAAAATAACAAAATTATAACTAGTTGCATCCAAAGAGTTCTAAGAGAAAGGGTTCCTAAACTTGGGAAAATTAGACCTCATCAGCCCGAGCCCCATTCAAGATAATAGAGGCCAGAGGTTCTGAAACTTTAGATATATGCTTCTTTTGAGACGACTTTCTTATTTCTTAAAACAAATTTTTAATATAAAAATTTTAATTTTTATACAAAAAAGTTACTTTAAGAAACAGTAAACAAACCGTCCCAAACGAAGTCATAATCTGAAAACAAAGTAGCTGGTTGATAAATTCTGATATTATCTATAGCCTTATGCTTCATCTGGGCCGGTTTTCTTCATGCTTCTTAAAGCTGTTTTTTAGTACAAATATTAAAAAATTTATACTAAAAAGCTGCTTTAAGAAACAGTAAGAAAATCGTCCCAAACGAAGCCTTAGTCTATATAATTAAGAGAGTGTTAGCAATGCTAGATAAGGAGTTGGTTAGAAAAGCTGGTAGAGATTGAGGTGGAGTTGGGAACAGGAAAAGAAGGCAAAGTTGATCGTAAAGCATCCGGTGGAGAAGACGATGAAGCACTTGGCATGCAAAATGGAGTCGTCTCAGAAGCTGGAACACTGCCATGGCTTGCTTGGGCATCTTGCTTGCACACAGGACAGAATGTTCTCCACATTGTAAGCCAGGAATCAACACAATTTGCATGAAATCCTGCAGAAGGTAATATAGCAAATTAGGATGGAGCCCTTAAGCAGACAGAAATTCAAAGCATTATTCAGGTTCACTATAACATGTCGAGTTTCCAGGTTCCTAATTGGAGCTGCAACCAGTAAAAAACTATAAATAGCTGCAAAAGGTACTTTTTACCTCAAATGGTCCCTAAATTATTTATGAGGGGTGTTTTAATCCTACACTATATAATACATCTAGCTTAATCTACTTTACTAGTCAAATTTGATCCAAACTAGTACATTGAATAGTTAAATATGATTTAAACTAATTCATTGAATCCTCAAACCTAAAACCAGAATAATTCATTAGAAGGATACCTTTGGATCATATTTGAGGGCTAAAAGAACTAAATTGGCCACATTACAACAACAACAACAACAATAAGCCTTTGTCCCACTACGTGTACTCAGCTACATGAATCCTTTTTCGCCATTGTGTCCGGTTAAAAGTTAAATTCTCATTTAAATCTGATAAAAAAATATCATTTCTAATATTTTCTAACCAAATTTTTTTAGGTCTACCTCTACATTTATTAACATAAGTCAAATATAAATAGGTAGACCAATGACAATTTTAATATTTATTTTATTTTCTTATTACTATCATTTTTTAATAGATTTGGTTGTCAACACATTTTCTCAGAACAGAAATTCCTAAAAAGAGTAAAAAAATTTGAAAAATAGAACTGTGATAATTATCTCAAAGTTTTAAAACCACCAATAAAAGCCTAGTCAGAAAATCACAGTATTGTACATTATTATAAGCTAATAACATAAATACACTCTCAGACATGAAGAGCAGCTGTGATTGAAAAAGAAAATTATAAAATGAAGGGGCTGCTTTGTTAGTTAACTTTCTTCTTGCAAAATAGATTGTAAACAATTAGACTCCATAATTTAGTAAACCTTGCATTAAATGGCTGATCAAAATGCTAGTTAAACCAAAAGCGAGATACATACTGTGATGGCAAGGCAGAATCCGAAGCTTTTCACCAACTCTGTAGTCCTCGAGACAAATAGCACAGGTTTTTGAAGTGCTGTCACCTTGCAAAACTTTTGAGAACAACTGGCTTGGCATCACTTGGACCAACTGATTGCTCATTCCATGGAAAACATGGACTTGCGAATCTCCCCGTCGAAGATGGCTACTGCGGCGTCTCCGTACGAAAAAGCATGCAGCCAGCATAGCAGACAGAGCCAGCAATGATGTGAAAGAGATAGCCCATATAGCCCATGGCGAATTTTCGAAATATGGAATGATCCACAACTGCACATCAGTATGATTAACGTATTTCTTTAGTTCCTCACCTGAGGCCTTGGAGATGAACACAGCATGTATGTTTATGTCTTCTGACCTTCCTGCCACTGTAATGTTTACAAATAGACTTGATTTAATAACCAAAACATAAAACTAGCAGGTTTACATTAAGTCCTCGTTTGATTCTGCTTTTTTTTGCATTTTCAGTTTCAAAAGTGTAATTATCATTTGTCTTTATTTGTATGTGACGCTTCTCTAAAATTGTTTTTTACGAAACTTCATTTTTCTACTATTTTTAGAAGCATTTTTATTTTGACTTCTCCGTTACAAAACAACATTTCCTCAAACAACATTTATAAAACCACCTTTTACAAGAGGTAGGGGATAACCAAACGAAGCATAAGTACGAGAAATTAGTGGTTAAATAAATAATTTCACACACTATTTAGTAAGCTACAAATTAAAACCATTAAAATTTTAGTTCTTTGTGAAATATTTTATAAAATGCATGCACACTCCCTATGAATGCAAAGAATGGAATCACATATGTTAGTAAAATTCAATATTACAATACCATAAACCATCATTTCAAACTTTGACTTTAAAAAAATTGGAGATAATATCAATTACAGGTTAAAGTAAAGTATAAAAGTGAATGATAAGAAGCATTACTTGTTACCAATCCATGACTGTGTATGTTATCATATACGATGGCAGCTTTGAATCCAGCATTCTGAGCATTTTTAACTTTATCATGAAATGTGCAACCACCTCTTATTATCAAAACAAATGGAGATGTTGAACCATTAGCTACTGAAACATTTAACTGAGCGCATGCATCAATAGGTTCAGCAAGATACAAAAACCCAGCTTCACCAGATTCGCTGATAGGCCGAGCTATAAAATTCAGAAAGATAATGAAATTATATAAGATCAATAAGCACAATAAAGCATAAGCTTTTAAAGCTATGATTAGGCTAATGATACATTACAGGCATTAGTAGTTCCATTATGATGTGAACTCTAGCATCATACCAAACAAAAAACAACGTAAATTTCTCAAAATAAACTAATTTTTCAACAGAAGAAGAAGGGCATACATATGTGAAGCATAAAATAACAAATTTTTCATGCACACACCAGATTGAAAACAACTCTTGGGACACAGTAACAACGTTTTAAACACAACATTTTAGAATGTGCTTATTGATCAAGTTTGCATAAATTGGGGTCATTAGTGATGCGGTGCATCATACATATATGATGCCTTTGGTAACAACTTACCTTTACTATCAATTCTGTTGCTATCATTTGCTTTCCACTTCCATAGTTTGCTCTTTTTTATTGTCCTTGCATAGTGTTACCTTTTTCTTCGTTATGGCTAATTTCAACAAGATGCCCATGTGTAGGGGTGTCAATTTTGGGTGACAGGTCGAACCCGAAACTAAACCGGCATTATTCGGATCAACCTGAACACGAACCATTTTTGTAAACAGATCAATTTTTCAGACCCGAATCACCTGCTTCGGGTTCGGGTCAACCCGACACGACTAAAATGACCCGGGGCCGACAAAAAATTGCTAGCTTTCGGCTCAAAAAAACGGGTCAATCTTTGATTTTGAGGTGAAAAAAGGTCAATTTCGGGTTTTCGGGTCAAAAACGGGTTTTTTGGTAAAAAAAATTGGGTCAATTTCGGGTTTCTGGGTCAACCCGAACCCAACCCGATTTTTTAAACGGGTTGATTTGTTGAACCCGGACCCAGTCCATTTCGGATCCAGGTTGACCCTAACCCGGAATTTTTGGGACGAGTTTGTATCGTGTTTTCGGGTCGTGTCAAATATTGACACCTCTACCCATGTGCATCTTTGATAGTCCTATATATAGTTTGTAAATGGTTAAGAAAAGGATATGAAAAACATTATTCTCTTTTGAGTTTCCTATTGTTCTCTGGCTTTCGTTCTTGCATCTCCTTCTTCCAATGATTCACTAAATCAGTTAGTTTGCATACAATCCTTCAGATATTATGCTTATTATGATGCATAAATGCATTCATATTACTAAGGTTTCAGCATTTATTAATTGAACAGATTATTAAGCATTCAAATATAAGAAAAGGGCAATTATAGGAATATAGTTTATAGTGCCTAATCATCTCTAATGATTGTCATAAAAAAGATTACATAAAAAGACAATTGTTGTCAACAAGCTTTGTTGAAGTCTTGGAAGTGGTTGCCATAGCCATGGGATTGAATCCCACCTACATCTAATTTATGATCTGATGCTCAACATTCAAACTTATATAGGTGTGTTCCAGCCTTAAAAGAAGTGTAAAAAGATGAACAATCACAAAACAATAAACGAAGCATTCAATTATGGTGCATGCCAATGGCAATGGAGGCCGCCAACATCTTACTCACTAGCGGATGGTATTAATGAACCAATTAAATGGTCTTTAGCTACCAATTTTGTAGAGCTGATTCTGCCAAAAATGAATTCTTTGAGCATGCAGCATAATACATGGGCTGGACATTCCTTCAGCATATGCTACATGGAAAAATAAGAACACCCTCCGATGATTCTTTAGATACAGATTGAAAAGATTTATATAAAAAGAATTTCATTAGCAGAACACAGTCACCTTCCTATCAAGGATATGAATAAAAAAGAATTACAGGTGATTCAAAATATAAATAAGATCTTACTGAAGGTCGCATCAACATCAACAAAGGACTTCGATATGTTCCTCCCGACCAACACAACATTTGCAGCAGCAAATCTCAACAACAGAAAAAGCACAACGCAGGCAACCCATGCTCGCCTCCCAGCTACAAAAACCTTTGTCCAAGCCATTCCGAAAACCCTAATCGACAAAAAAAAACCTTTTCTCAATCGAAATGACGGTGTCGATCCTACTTTTTCAATTGACTCAAAAAAGAGATCTTCAATGCATCATCTTTCGTCGCCATTTTGATCCTGTAAGTTTCACTAATTTCTCGTAGACAAATAAACGGTAGAATTGGGATTGAAAAATCCATTTTAAAGAAGGCAGCGTAGTAAAGAGAAGACCTTTGCACTAACTTGTCGAATCTGCAGATTGAGAACCTTAAGAGATTCGTCAGGACGAGGAGCCTTCGAAGACAACGACGTCCGCTTCCATGCAAAAAGATTGAAGGAGGCCGAGAAGACAACACAGGCTCGAACGGCGGGATATTTTCTCGATAAAGGCGGCAAGTTGGGGATGATATTAGGTAACTCCATATTACTATTTAAGTATTTGCTCTGATTTTCAATTTTAAATGTAAATTATTCATATATTATTAATGTAAAATTAAGATTTAACGTTTAATTGTTGTAACATCACAAATATTAAAAAATGATTTTCAAATCAAAATCTAAGGAGAAATTATTTACTGCAAAGTCATAATATATAGTTACTCCTAAATCCAATCAAATTGTGACACATGGACTTGTTCACAGTGCGTATAATTGTGTGCAAGCTTGTAAAATGTGTTCGTGGGCGGGCAGTGGTCCATTGATGGTCCGTTAGTGGACAGTGGTCCGATGATGGTTTGGTGATGGTTGATTGAAATTCACATGCGGTGTTGCTTGGGCATAACTTTGAATTCTTGAAGCATGAGAGCTCTATCTAATCTCAAACTAAAAGGATCCTACCTTCTCCAAGAGTCCAAGCCCCTTTCATATGGAAAGTGGGGCTTTATTTATAGATTGTTTAGAGTGACATGAACCATAAAATATAAAGAAGATATTGGACAAATTTGGAGTCAGACGACATATATTTATCACATCGATTATAGAGCATTTGTCAAATATTTATGCCCCCCCTCCATGCAAAAAGATTGAAGGAGGTCGAGAAGGCAACAAAGGCTCGAACGGCAGGATATTTTCTCTATAGTATAACTATTTAAAGATCTTTGAGGTGCCGGACCCCAGACGTCTGAGTGAATTAGTTGAAATGGTCGAGTTGAAATGGAAACACTTTTATTAAATGACAATTTGTGACTCTTGACTACATTACATGAGATACAAACAAAACTATGAGAAGGGGTACATAAGTCTTGAATGTAATGAGCTAATGTTGAGAGAAGCCGGTGATGAGGATAGCTGAGCCGCGAATGCCAAACTGAGGAAGATGTGGTATTGGCTTGAAGAGCTGTTGTAAAAGGGGATGGCATGATCTGAATTTGATAGAGGCCGTCACGAAGATGACCATTAAGAAGGGCAATTGTCCTAAAGATCTATTATGACAAAGTTGTTAGCTTTAAAGGAGATGGAAACTTGATTATCATTAGTTAGTTTGTAGATGGAAAGAAGATTGTGGGTAAAAGTTGGAACATGTAGAATATTATGCAAATCAAGCTTTCGAGCCTAGTCAGGTAAAGGAAGAATGACCTATCTAGTGTGTTGGATCAGTAAGGTGGAACTGTTGGCTATGGAGATGGAGTCGAGGTCTTGATATGAGGAGGAATGTTGTAGATTTGCAAGATCGTGCGTAAGATGAGTTGAAGCTCCATAATCAAGAACCCAGTCATTGGATGGGGAAGGGGGTTGATGAGTGAGCATTGCATGAGGTGATCAATTGGTGGTTGGCGTGTATTTTGGGTTGCATCTGTGCTTGCAATTAAGGGCAGAATGCCCTAGTTTCCCACAAATTTAGCACATCGGTCTTGTGGAGCTCGTGGTGGATGATTGCTAGGAAGTAACTGGAGCAAAGGACGTGCTAGAAGATGAGTTTGGGTTTCAGCCTCTGGGAGGTCTGAATGATCCGCGTTTCTTGGTGTTATTCGTCCGATTTGTGTGGAGAGTGGTTTGATCGGAGGAGGGGTTGGACTCTTTTAATTGTTCATTATGGAGGTTAATCTCCTCGTTATAGAGGAGTGAGTAAAGAACATCAAGATTAATATGATGCACAACAATGCACATGGATGTTTTAAACGAGTTGTAAGTGGAGGCCAAACCGTTGAAGATATAAATAATGATGTCTTCGATGTTGATCGTGGAACCAGCGGCGGCGGTGTTGTCAATGAGAGTTTTTATTTAGGGCTAGATATTGTTGCATGGAGCGATCGCACATTTGGACATTGTGGAGCTCATTTTTTAGTTGTATCACCCTGGAGCGGTTCATCGGTTGTATGCGGCGTTCAAGAACAATTCAGATTTCTTGTGCAGTGGAGGATGAATGAACGTAAGGGAAGATCGAAGGAGATATAGTAGAAAGAAGGGCGAATATCATGTTTTAATCGATTAAACACCAAAGACTGTAGTCAGGATTGGAGGGGTCGGTGGGATGAGGAGTGGCTCCGGTGAAATGTCTGGCAAAGCCATTTGTGGAGAAGTGTTAGAGGAGTTGAAGTCGCCATATAGTATATGTGTCGGCGGTGAGCTAAGTTGGAACAAGATTTTTAAGGTTGGAGATCATGAATTTGCGAGGAGCCGGATCAATGAACACGGATAGTGAAATTGGAGAGATCGGAGGTGGGTGGGCGGGATGCCGCCGAGTCTTGATCCGCCATTATCTCTCTGATACCATATAAGCCTTGCAAGGAGGAAAGAAGGATGAACGAGGAACAGGATGAAAGAGGAAAGAAACTGTATTATTATATCAAATTAGTGTACAAAGATATCAGCATATATATGAAACTGTATTATTATATCAAATTAGTGTACAATGATATCAGTATATATATATATATATATATATATATATTTATATAAATCTCCGGCGCGGATCGGGAATCACGGTTCGGTTTATGACCGGAGGTGGTGGCCGGGGATTTGACCCATCCGGTCGTAAACCGGCGGCGATGGCGGCGGACCATAACTTTATGAACTGCATCGAGCTGAACCCGTCGCAGGCGGCGTGATGCACGGCGAGGGCGAGGCAAAGGCCGTAGTTTGGAAACAGAGTGACCTGTATAGCGAGCAGTGGCTGTAATTCTTCGGGGGAAAGCCTTGCGCTCGGCCCGGCGGTGAGTGCCGAAGTTGGCGGTTTCGTCGTTCGACTTCATTCATTCGCGCGAGAGCGACAGACCGCACAGATCGCTCATTCCTTTCCTTCGTTGCTATTCGACTTCGGCTCCCTCTTGGCTGTTCGACTTCGCTCTTCGCAGGTCGAGCGAAGAATTTCAAACCCGCTCATTTTGAGCGGCTTTGGAAGTCACGGGATCCGGCTCCTCTAATACACTCTTAATACTTCAGAGGGTTTATTTTTGCTCCGTTCAAAATTAACCAAACAGCAGAATTTAATAAATGCATGTATCTAATTTACTTTACCCTCCTAATTCAGGCAACCAAACAGCCCCTATATCAAAACATTAATGCATTATATATAATTTAAAACTCATAATAAAACCATTTCAATATATAATCAAGACACGATTTTCCTATTTTTATTTTAATATTAAAAATTTCATATCTCTTATGATTTGCTTTTTATTTTTATCTTATTTGTGTAAATTAGAATAATAAACTCTCTTTCTATTCTACTTTATTGATATAAATATTAAGCATACAACAAATATAATGCTATTATGCTTTAAAGTTTCGTTTGGGCAATTTTTTTATTATTTTGTAAAATATTTTTTGAATAACGCATTAAAAATTTTATACATAAAAATTACTTTAAAATTCAGTAAAATATTCATTCCAAATGGAACCTAAATGTTGAAATATATAAATTTAGTTAAAATATACTGATTAAATGTTTTTATTTAAACAAAATGTCAAATGAACTTGAACTTTAAGTTTTCTCGAATTAAAAAAGCAACAGAGGTCCGATACATCCCGCTTGAGTCGGTTTGGCTGTGGGGAACAATTATTAGGTCCGATGACAGGACGTAGCCACATGCTCTTACTCTTTACCGTGCGGCCCGACAATTTGACCCGGACCGGAACCCGGGAATGCTATGTTTGCGTATTGCTAGATATTACTCGGTATTTGCTCGGTATTGCTCGATATTGCTTGGTATTGCTTGACAATAACGAGAAATACTGCTCTGTGAAGACTAATATCGAGAAATACCAAGCAATACCGAGTAATACCGAGTTTTTCTAGAAAAAACTCGGTATTTGTCTTCACATAATGGTATTTCTCGTTACTGCCAAGCTAAATCGACAAATACCTAGCAATACCTAGCAATACCGGGTTGTCATAGATTTAAAAAATGCATGTACGATATACCCACTATTCACCGGATCGGGTCCGATTTCCTACTACGTGGCGCGATCTCCATGCCAGCCGAACGTAGCTATACGCCGGTTCACCGAACCAAATAAAAGTTCCGTTGTGGGACCCGCCACCCGTTATCGATAAAACATAAACGAAACGGCGTATTTCCCAACCGCAAATATCCTCAAATGAACGGTTCCTATTGCTGCCACCGATAATAGCGTGAGCGGACGACTCAGATTTCGCATAGTTCATTTGAAGTCAGCCCCGTTTCACCTCCGCGGTCAAATTATTAATTCGTGTTAATCCTTTTATCCTCTCGTTCTCTCTCTCCCCGCTCCGATTACCCTTTTTTTCTTTCGCTTCGTTGCCGGCGAGATCCCGCAGACGGCGCCGCCGGTGAAGAGGAATTAGATATGCTTGGAAAATAATTCCCCTTTGCCTTTCTTGAAAGAGAAAGCTCGTAAGTGATATGAGGGATAATTCGTTCGTATGCGATATTGTATTTCGATCCCGGTAAAACCTAATTCTCGCAGCCATGGCGTCGTCGTCGTCTTCCATGAACCCTTCGTCTCCGGGGCTTAAGGCTTACTTCAAGACTCCTGAGGGCCGATATAAGCTCCAGTATGAGAAGACTCATTCCGCTGGCATTATGCATTATTCTCATGGCAAATCCGTATCTCAGGTAGGTTCAGAGATAAGGTTCATTGCTTTTTGGTAATGGTACGTATCGAGATTTTGACTTCGAGCTTGGAATTTCAGTTGACGATCGCGTATCTTAAGGAAAAACAAGCTTCACAGGGGCCCAGCGTGCCTTCGACGCCGGGTTCCAGCGGTGTGGTGAAGTCGGCAGCAGCGAGGCTCTTTGTTGGTGTTAATGGAAGCAAGGCCTTCTCTTTTGGTGGTTCGAATGGTGGAAGTAAGATGGTGTCTGGACCCAGCAGGTTTGGAGGGACTTTTGGAGGTTCTGCTGGATCAGGCAGCTCTCCTTCTTCAGCAAATTACGATGGGAAAGGGACTTATTTAATATTTAATGCCGGTGATTCGCTATTCATTAGTGATCTGAATTCGCATAACAAGGTTTAGCATGCTTTATCATTTTTTTTTATTTAACAAATTTCTTTGTTTTCAAGGGGCTATTTGATGCCATTATATTTATGATGAAATTATTGTAGGATCCAATCAAGTATATTCATTTCAGCATTTCATACCCTTTGTGCCATGCTTTTGATTCAGAGGCAAAAGATGGACATGATTTGCTCATTGGACTTCAATCTGGAGACAGTGAGTTATTTCACCGTATTTTCAATCTATGTTGTACCATTTTCTTCCATTTTTGTGTTTTCTTTTTTTTTTCTGTATTACTTTTGTTAATAATTCAATGATTTTGCTAACGAAGTTTATATGCAATTCAAGTCTTCACAGTGTCGCTGAGGCAGCAATTGCAGGATCCTGGTAAAAAGCTCGTGGGAGCTCAACATTATAATAAAGATGGAGCGATTAACAACAGGTATGTCTTTCGTTTTATGAAACATTTATAAACTATGTATAGATAATATGTAACTGTTAGATACTCATGGAAATTTTAATTTTTGGTGTTATTAAATTGGAAATTTAATTTTTTGATTGGAATTGGTTTATTGAACTTGTATTAATGAAGAATGTCCGATTTATACTGTCACTGCATGCTTCTTAGCTCTAACGAAACTACTGCAACTGTGTAAATCTTATAAGCTTTAATGATAGCCTGAGTAGCCTTTTGAGTGGTCATTAACTTGAATGGCTTTGCATAACTTTGTTTTCTATGGTGTTTGTTACCATTGTGATATAAATTACAAAGAGACGGGTCTATCAACATGAGTAACTTATTGAATAGTAATTTAAAAGTTTGCTTTGCCTGGCTTTCAGTTATCATCGGTAGTAAAAATACTCACAGCAAAAAAGCTCAAATTTTAAGCGTAGAGCTTAAAAAACCAAACTGAAAAAGGTTAAGTTTACTTATAACAATGATATATTTGATACACATGTGTTACCTTTCTCACATGATGAGAGAGGGACTTTAATCATTATGTCTTCATCTTACCTGTTTTATAAGTATCATAATTTTTTAGGCGTTACAATTTTTTTTTGATAATTGTCTTGTGGATTGTTATGCTGCTATTTGCAGTCGCTGTACTTGTGTTGTATGGGTACCAGATGGTGATGGCATTTTTGTTTCTGCTCATGCTGATGGAAACCTATATGTGTATGGAAAAGTGAGTCATTATCAGCACATTTTCGATCTATTATGGGTGTATTTTTTGATTATTTTAGGCTTGTCTTAAATCTCTTTACTATCTTCCTAGAACAAAGATGGGGCTATTGATCCATCATTTCCTGCCATCAAAGATCCAACTCAGTTTTCTGTTACTCATGGACGATCTAGTAAGGTAACTTGGCAGAGGTTTTTTCTTTGTTTGGTTTATCTTGTTATAAATTTATTGACAAATATCTATTGCCAATGAAATATCTGAAAAAGCTAGGGTTACCTTCTCATTTTTTGTCAATGTTACTCTTGGGTATCGCGTTATTAATTTTTCTTATGAAGGCTCTTTGATAAAAAAACAATGGCTTCACTTTACAAAATATTTTTTTTTTTTTGCAAAAATGTGCATCCCTTTGTTCTTCAATTAGGTCCTCTTTGGTAATGTTATCTTGTGGCGTGCTGTTTTCCTTCTGAATTACTGTGTAAGATGAACTTGTTTGATAAAAACTGTTGTGAAAGTAATGAGAATTAGTTAAATGACCAAAATAGACATGATCATAAAATAAAAAGTACAATCAGCTTATTTTTAACATATAGTAAGTTTATTGTTGCAAATGAATGCAAGATTAATAATCAATAATTGTGCATCTATGAATTAAATTAAAACTAGAATGCTAAATAATTATAATGCAGTTAATGTTGTAATGATTTTTAACTTTTTAAATATAAAAGCATTTTCTGAAATCCTATTATCATAATCAGGAAAGAGACAAGGAGGGAAAATCTATATATTTCAAGGAACAATATAAGGAAAATATACTAAGAAAAACCTCAACATATCATGCCATCTCACACTTAGCCATTGCCATGTCTTGATATTAAACCTTAGCATTTGACATGCCAACAAAATCTTGTTTCTTATTCTTCTAAGACAACAAATTTCTTCTAGTAAGAAAACAAGATATTGTTGTAGAGTACACATAAGAAGACCTTGCCTACTTTGCGTTATTGTAGTCAATCACTTATGTATTTCCTTTATGATCATATAACATGCTTTGAAGTATCCCTTTTAAAAGTTCAAGGGAGAGTGTTAAGCCTCGTTGAACTGCTCAAGGCATATCAAGAGGGGTGAATTAGTGTTTCTTTTTTTTTTTTAAATTTCAATTCTTTTTCAAAAAAATGATTTTTGAAAACTTGATTACCAAATTCAAAACATCAAATTTAAATAGAAATATAACAACGCATAAGCTAGTCAATGTACTAATTTTTTGTTTAGTAGAGAACTCAAGAGATGAACTTGAAAAGATATTTTTAGTTTTGTACCTAATTAATCCAAACATTCACAACCTTCACAACATGGATTTGCAAGAAAATAAATTGCAGAAAATTAAAGAATCACTTTGACCTACCCAGTGTGGTGGAGTATTAGAATCCTTTTCACCATTTTGGTGAGATAGAGAACCTTAGACACTTTTTCACCCTCATGGTGCATGCAAAGTACCTTGCAATTCTTTTTCACCATGTTGGTGAAGGCAGAAAACCCAATGATCTTAAGCTTTAAAGTCTTTCTCCCTAGTGCAACCCCAAGAAATAAACAAAGCCACTAGAGGAATCTAGGTGTAAGCTTGCTTGGAGCAACCATATAGAATCCCCTCACACTACTTCACTCTCTCACACAACCTCACATTCTCCAATGCTCTAGACTTTTTTAGATCTCTCACAAAGCTCTCTCTCAGAATCTCTTCAACAACCAAAGATTCTCGAAGAGTCTAATAAGAAAGATTTTATACAAGGCTTAAAAATACAAAATGATTAAGGATTGTGCAGCACGAATAGTTTAAAAATCCAACTTCGGTAAGTACGATGGAACAGCTGCTTCACGAACAGTTCATATTCTTTATATTGATCGTACTACACAATCATTAGATCGTACGATATGATTAGTTCAATGTTCTTGAGATCATACAAGACGATTGGAAATCATCTCTACCAATCGTCCATCACGATTCACATTATACTGTACAATTAACTCAGAAATCAAGGTTTTGTTCAGGACGATATCCGAAACGACTAAACACTGTCTTTGCATATCGTATGATACGATCGACATCGTACAGTACAATATGACATATTAATTAAACCTTGATTTACTTGACTAATCATAGAGATTAAATTAAGTAAATTTCCAGAAATATTATACAATACGAGCTATATCGTACAATACAATTAGTTATAAAATAAAATTAAAATACGTACTTAATTTTGATTGGTGGCCAGGGTTTCTAATTTAAACTGATCGTCTAGTACGTTTTGGATCTTATCGTATGATTAGGTTAAAAATATTAATTACAGAATTAGCTGTTATTATGATTTTTTGGATGACTGATCGTACAATAAAATTTGAATCGTACGGCACCATTAGTTCAAAATAAATTTACTGATCAATTTCTCACTCCCTTATGTGTGTGTACATGGTCACCAAATTAGCATACACCCTTACATGACATAGATTTAAGAAATATAAAATTAAAATCTAAATGAAAGACTCTTTCAATGCATCTTATTCTACCCAATATTGAGCCATGAATGATCTTGAATGTTGTATGATGTACATGAAATGTTAGTACAAACATAAAAGAATACACAATGCAAATTCTAGGAGAAATAAAAATTCAATCAATAATATTTGTTAGCATCAAAATCACAATCTCGGGATCCCGGATTGCAACACCTTATATGAGAATACAAATGGCATCATCTCAATGAATATCATATGGAGATTATAAAAACTGATTGGGTACACTTGCAAGGAAATGTTTGTTGCGTTTATTGTGAGATAGTTTTGTTTATCAACAAGTCTTTTATTTACTTGGATTAAGACTCCACTTGTTTTGATAGAAATTGAATATTTCAATCCATCAGCTTTAATGGTTATGTATCCAACTGTACATGTCTCCTCCAATATATCTAATACATACACTGCGAAATAACAACATTACTACTTAATTGAGCCACCTCAATAACTAGAAAATATTTGAGTTTGCTTGAATCTATTGTTTAAAAATAATTAAAGAGGTGCCATTTTAACCAACAAATATGTTCCTGATCATATGCTGTGATATCCACACCATCTCTATAAAATAGATACATTGATCATGAGAAATATGTCAAAAAAAAAAAAGAAAAAGAAAAAAAGAAGAGTTATTTGCCTCACTATAAGTCATACAAAAAATTTGAACAATTGCATTGAACATTACAAACCAATCTCATGTAGATTGTTTCAAGCCACAACGAGGTTACCATAACCTACATATAGATTCAAACTCCCCTCAGGCAACAAAGATTGGTATCATATAAATTAATTTCTTGAGCCGGAGGAAGACAATTATAATGTCCAATTGCTAAAGAAGCTTATTACCCGTAATGGCCCGGTATAAAAATCGCCAAACATGAACAATCTTGTCCCTATAGTTTTAAGTATGACCCTAATCAAGATGAAGAGAATTTAAGTCAAAGGTCCAAATCTATTGATTATTTCCATCGAACATTTTTCTTCTATAGAATTTAAAAGGTGTACTCAGTCCAAGGAGCGCCTACCAATGTAGTTTTTAGGGAGGTTTGATATATGATGCATTAACTTGTGTATTTGTAGGGAGGATATTTTTGTAACTTGAATTTAACAATTCCAAGTTACATTAAAGGCAACTTAGGCCTTCTTGGCTCAAGCTCTTTTTAAATAATCTAAAGAACTACTTGTGACTTCCTTTTTCAAGTTCTGTTTGGACATATTTGAAGCTTCATTTTTTTTTAAATTTATTTTTTTATTTGGGGGAGTGCTTTGCTCTTTCGATGTAGGCATCTGAAGTTTGCCTTTCTTGATCATGATGTTTGTTGGTTTTTTTTTTTGTAGTGCAACCCGATTATTAGGTGGCATATTTCCCAGGGGTTCATAAACAATATTTCGTTCTCAATGGATGGTGGATATTTAGCAACTGTCGGAAGAGATGGTATGACCTTAAGTAATCCTTCGGTTTTTTTTATTTTCTTTTTTCCTTCTGTAGTTTATTTTCATCTGAGATAGATTGTTTCTTGTAGGATACTTGAGAGTATTTGACTACCTCAAAGAGCAATTAACTTTTGGTGGAAAAAGCTATTATGGTGCTTTGCTTTGCTGTGCTTGGAGGTAAGAATGTTTTTTCTTTCAAGAATGCTCTAACAGAACATTTGTTATACAAGCATTTTTTTATCCCTCATATGATTTTTTAATGCTTCAGAAACAGTACAAAACACTAAGCATTACATATTCTAAGTGCACAGACGCATAATAAAACATGTTTATTTCTTTTGTTACTTGTAAAACATGCTTTTATCCATGTTCCTTCTCGCCTTTCTTTTGTAATCCTACTATACTTGACTGTATGTTATACTTTGTTGTATACCTACTCATTAATTGGCACTGTATTCTTTTTGAACACCATGCAGATGTACTTATTTGATTCCTAATCTATGAGATGTATTCAAATTTGAACTAAATTAATGCCAGTATATCTGTACAAGTGACGTGCTATGACTTAATTCAATTTTGGGAAGTGGTATGCATATTAGATGCCAACAATAGCTGATGTCTAATTGTGAGAATAAGCAAGGGTTAGCGGTAAAGTCAACTACAAGTGATGCACCTTTACTTAAAATAATTTTGTTGAAAAAAATATACAAGGGTTGAGCAGGTTTAAATTAAATATTAGATTTTCTATATAAAATTTATACATTTTAGTGTAAATATCAAAGAATTAATAGACATAATATGATTAGAACAAGAATTAATAGGAAAAGTGTTGGGGGATATTGTAAAATATTATAATATTGGGAAGGCTAACATCAAGAATGAAGTTGCGATGATAGTGGATAGAGAGTTGAAAGATAAATTATTAAGATTAATAGATTTGGTGATAGGTGATTATCGATGAGATGCATCAAATATGCTAAATATTTATCCTCTTGATGTTGGATTAGAAGATTCAACAAATTAATATTTTGGAATATATGGATGAACTGTTACATTGTATGCTTGAGGAATAGATTAAGATTATTTTTGTTAAATTGCATATAGGTTCTAGACTTCTTGTAGAATTATGATGGGTATGAAATAAGGGATAGAAATGTGATGTGAGAAGCTATTATTGGTTTTATACTAACATATGTCTTGTTATAGCTCATTTTTTAAGAAACTAGAAGAGCACTTGATTACTTGTAAAAGTGAATTTACCAAATCATGGTGGCTTTTTCTTACTTTGAAGAAAACAAAAATATCTATGTAAATATTATAAGATTATTTTGGGACTAATATAAATTTATCACAACACATAGGATAATAGTTTTAAATGTATATCTTAATAGTAAAAAAAGTCCTATGATTAGATGGTGGAATTTAAAATATTAGTAGTTACTAATTCTTTTAGATGTCTTTGTTAAATCCCAGCCTCGCATTCCAAAGATGATCCCACGGCTATGAACAATAATCCATTGGAAGACTGCCTGGATTACATTAAATTCCTTCCATAGCTAGGTAGCTGATTTAGGAAGGATTGTATTACTCATCATGCTATAATTATTTAGATATATTTGTTTCTTTATCAATGCACCTTGTATATATCTATAAATAGAGAGTATGTTGCATAATAAAATTTAAGCTTTTCTTCTCAAACCTCTGATTTCTAACATGGTATCAGAGCCAACGGCCTTAATTGCTGTTGTAGAAGGATCATAGATCATCAGAGGAAAAGAAGAAGAAATCGAAAGCCTTGTCGAAGACGGAAGCTGCAGACGGATGTCGAAGCGGAGCACTGCAGAAGACACAAAAGCCCTAGTCGGCCGATTTTTTCCCTACCGGTGATATCCCGATACAAACGTTGTAACTTTCGATCCGACAGGAAGGGCAAGTCGCCGAAGGAGCGTAGCAGACAACCATGAAGGAGCCGAAGAAGTGACGCACCTCTTGCGAAGCAACGAAGTCGAACAAAAATGACGAAAGGCGTCAAAGGAGCGTAGTCGAACAACCATGAAGGAGCCGAAGAAGCGACTCACCTCTTGCGAAGCAACGAAGCCAAACAACAACGATGAAAAGAGCCCCGAAGACTCTTGCTCGGACGTCGGAAGAAGCCGTTCGAAGAGGTTCGCTCGCTCAGACGATTTGATCGGAAGCTCCTTCCAATTTTCCTAATCGGCTCAGATCCGTAGAAACGCCCTCTCGATTATCTGGTATGGGCCGACAACAACAACAAATCTTAAATCAAATTTGAGACCTGATTAAGACCCGATATCAACCCTTATTGCTGATATAATCAAATCAACCTTTATTACTGTACTACAATGTCTGAAGAAAATTCATCCCAAAGCATGGACCAAATTGAAGAATCTATGGTGCACCAAGGATGAGGTGACTTCCAAAGCATGCAACCTTCCTATCGTTTCAATGGGAAGAACTAGCTAAAGTGGTCTCAATTTGTGAAGACCTATTTAAAAGGAAAAGGAAAAATACACCACTTCCTCGGAGGACCAAGAGAAGGAGATCTTAATTTTTGGGCATGGGATGAAGCTGACTCCATGATTATGTCATGATTGTGAAATTCTATAACTCCAGAAATTAGCGATACATTCATGTTCCTTTCCACTGCAAATGACATATGAGATGCTGCTAGACAGACATTCTCCAAGTTCGGGATGCGGCTCAAATCTTTGAAATTAAAGTCAAAGTAGGAAGCACAAAGCAAGGGAGAAAGACCGTGACGGAGTATGCCACCCTTCTATAAAATCTATGACAAAAACTTGATCACTATAGATGCATAGAAATCAGATGTCCGGAAGATGTTGCGATCCTAAAAAGTTTTATTGAAAAAGATAAAGTTTATAATTTTATTGTAGAACTAAATGCAGAATTTGATCAGGTTAGAGTCTAGATCCTTGGCAACGAGGAGACGCCATCACTTAATGAAACAATATCTCTCATCCGCGCGGAAAGAAGTCGATGAGGAGTGAAGTTAGAATCAAAGGTCGTTGAAAGTTCAACAATAGTGATGAACATAGAATCATCATGGAAGGAGAAATGTAAAGATTCCTCAAAATTCGAAGACAAACTCACTTAGGTGCAGTTATTGCAAAAAGTCAAGACACACAAAGGAAACACGCTGGAAAATACATGGAAACCCCTTTAGTTAGGAGTGGAATCAAAGAACCGAAATAAGGAGCACATCGCATGCCAACAACATTACAAGTCAGCCGAACCCATAAACATAATCCGACCATGGAGAACTCAATAAAGAAGATATTGATAAACTGAAACGACTACTGGTAAGTGCCTCTAGAAATCATTTACTCAGGAGCCACAAATCACATGACTTACTCACCTACCCACTTAATCAACTATATTCTTTGCCCAAGCAATAAGAAATCATCGCTGCTGATGGTTTTCTTACCACGGTAGGTCTGTAGCAGACCAAGTAGACATAACATTATCTCCCTCACTCACCCTAAAAAATGTGCTCTACGTACCTCAATTATCCACAATCCTAATATAAATACAAAAACTTACCAAAGATCATAATTGTCAAGTTTTATTTAACCCTACTTATTGCTTATTTCAGGACCAAATATCGGGGAAGAAGATTGGACTTGCTAAGGAGAAAGCTGGACTATACTACTTGGAAGAACTAAGACAATCTAAAAATAGCTTCTCTATGTTTTCCCTAGTTCATAAGAATTTCACTATTTGACTTCATTATTATAGGTCAAGACACTCATCTTTGGATGTCCTAAGACATGTATCAACAACTTTTTTAGAAACTAGAAAATAAACATTTTCATTGTGAAATATGTGAGTTAGTCAAACATAAAAGAACTTCCTTCTTAAATAAAAATGAGAGATGTGATACTCCTTTATACCTTATTCATAGTGATATATAGGGACCCTAAAAAATCCCCAAAATCTTTGGGGTTTGCTGGTTTATATCATTCATTGATGATTGCACTAAAGTCTCTTGGATCTATCTCCTCAAAAATAAATCTAATGTTAGCACCATTCTTCCCATTTTTCGTAACATGCTCCAAAATCAATTCAGAGTGAAAATGAGGAGATTTCGCTTTGATCATGCTAAAGATTATTTCAATAAACCCGCAGGTTTATAGCAAATATGCTCACAAATATCAACTGCTTTCCTTCACAACATCATCTCTTATTTATAGGCAAAGTAAAGGAATGCCAAAAGTCACCTTAGTTAATGTTCCCAACATCCCAAGCTTTTATTTTTCAAAGGATTTCCAAGAGACATTTCGGGAAAATAGCCCAGCATCTCACGGAACCAAAGAGCCAGCAAGCAGGCAAAAAATTCAAAGCAGCACAGCTACGGGAAAAGCATCCCATTTTGGAAAAAACAAAGGCTGGCTGAATTCCCAAAGGTAAAGCATTAAAATCAATAACTTCCACTTTAATATTCTGTATTGAATTCAGCCACCATTAAGAGCAGGCCACGGTTTTCCAAGAGACAAGAAGAAAAGGGGAAGGGGAAGGGACAAGGCCACTCTAAAAGTAAACTTCATAATGAGGTACCTTTTGAGAATTAAATAGCTACTAAACTTCAGCTCAAGCAACTTAGAGAACAAGCTCAAAATCGAATTCTCCAAAACAGCCAACCCGAGAACCACCAGCAGCCAGGGACCAATCGAGCCAGCAAACCAAAGATCTACCAAGCCATATGCACTACCTACCATGATCATTGGATGCTTTCCCATCATTGGATAGCTAAAAAAGAAAAGAAAATAAAATAGAAAACAAAATATATTATTGTTCAAATAAAATAAAAAGTACAAAAATTCTTGATAACATCAGGTATACTCCAGACGTGCATGTTCATATTGTGCTCTAAACTAGATCCAAGAATCTGAATCATCTCCTTGAAATAAGGTAAGCTCATCACCTCCTTTATACCCTATAACTAATTCTATATCCTTCAAAAACTTTTTATCCTCACACAAATTTCTTGGTTACACTAGAAGATATCTATATTCTTAAAGATATTTCGGAGGCCTTATCTGATAAAAGATATTTATATTCCTAAAGATATTTCTGAGGCCTTATCTGATAAAAATGGAAAAATGCCATGATAGATGCAATGCAGGCCCTAGAAAAGA